ACGATTTTAATTTAGGGCCGGGTTTTTGTGAGAATTTGACGTTGACAGGAATATTATATTTACTGGCTAGTTTAGTCCAAGTGTGGATAATTTTTGAGCTGGTTTAAGGAACAAAAGGTAAACTGCAGTGTAATGTACTGTTGTTGGATTTGTTAGTGTCAATTTTGTTTGTGAGTTGAGTTTTATTGTGGGGAATGTTGGAGAGCTTTTCAACTATAGCTCATGGGAATTTATTGGTGTGAATAAAGGAATGCTTTAAGTGGTTAATTTCTTCATTTATGTAGTCTGTTGAACAGAGTCTTGTGGCTGTGTTTATGAGGTTTTTAAGTGTATTGCTTTTTTGTGTGGTGTCATGAGCGGAATTCCAGGGGATGTAGAGACTAGGGTGTGTGTTTTTGCAGTGTATTTTTGTTTTAAACTCTGTGTTAGATCTAATAATTTTTCATTAAACCATTTTTCCTTTTCTTCATTGCAGATTGATTGAATTATTTTGCCAAGTTTCTTATACTCTTCCGTACTATGGGTTTTCATTTTTCTTCTATCTTCCATGAGTACAAATATTTTCTCTCTTGTCCACTTCTGTTTCTTTTACTTTAATTTTATGGAATAACCTCCTTGGTTCTTTCAACTGTGTTTATTTTAAATTTTCCTATTTTGACATATTTCCTTCATGTTCAAGTTCTTGGAAATGGTTTTTAACTGCAACTGTATACCTATCTTAAATCAGAACTGTCTTCATTAGAATTGTATAATTGAGCTTTTTGTCGCCTTTGGCTTCGTAAATTTCCTCAATATTGTCTTGATGGTGCATACTACAGAGATATGGTTGTTCCCACTGTCGGCCCCTGGGTAAGTTTTTGATTGTGGTATTAATTTCCTGAATCTTCCATTGATGATGATGTAATCAGTTTGGTTACTAACATTATTTCCAGGACTTTTCTATGTATACCTTTTTCTTGGGGGAGGGGGGGGTTCTGTAATCACTTCATCATATGCAACACACCAATTAATTCATTTCTCTCCAAGTCCAAGCAGTCTAACAATATTATACATTCACTTACAACCAACTTTTGCATTTAGATCTCCCATTACTATGACCACTTCTTGAAGTTTACATTACTTTTTAGCTTTATCAAGGTCTTCATAGGAATGATAAATGTCCTCTTCCTCATTTCCAACTGTCATTGCATAGACTTGTATTATTTAGCCTTTATTTTTACAATTTCAGATATTGCCCAAAATACGGGCAAACACTTTGAAGCTTCTTTGTCCAAAATTAACTAAACTCCTCTTTTGTGCATCTGACCTCCTGAGTAAATGATCTTCATATCTTCTCAAACAATAGTTTCAGCATCTTTCCAATGTGTTTCATACAGACCTAGGATATTGGGCTTTTATCTATTCATCTCATGCTTTAAATTAAACAGTTTTCCAATTTTGTGTAGAGTCCTCATATTCCATGTTACCACTTTGACTTTTCTTACTGAGCGAGATATCCTCCTCATTTCTATTAGAAACCCCCTTCACACTGTTCTGGAATTTCTTTGATTTGTGAGATACTATAGATTATGTATGCTTGGCAAAATTCTGCAGTAAGTTGCAATTTCTTGATGCAAGGTTGCAGTGCTCGTTTGTTAATTTCCGGTATAAATTAAATGAACAGAATTTACAAACACAAAATTAAAATTCAACAAAGTCTCTTAATTTTATGGGACGTATCTTCTTCCATACTGGTCTCCGTCTCGTTGGCTTCTACTTCAAATGGGGTTCATTTGCTTCATCAGAAACTGTCCTATCATCAGTAACAGTTACATCAGTGGTAGTAACTTCATCAAGGAAGCCACTGTTTCCCTTCTCAAAACTAATTAGAGTTTCTTCTTTGACAGTGGCTTCTTCAGGTGACACGTCTTCAGCAGTGTCATTTGTTCCAACTGAAATGTACCTGGACCATGATAACGCCAAAGCCTGTTGGCATGCACCACTTTTGGCTTACCTCGCC